GTGTGGTCAAAAATAGTTCTGAAAATACCTGATTTAACACATTCACGACGACGCCCCTTTTCCACTTTTCGGTCGCGTGGGACGGACGCGATTTTGTGGGCGCCGCCGCCTCACCACATAACCGCAGATTTTGTTTTGTAAATGAACAAAAACATGAATGTCACAAAATAATTTCTGCAATGTCCAATGCGTAAAGATTATCTAAACATATAACAGTAGGATTTCGATCAGAACGACAAATAGTGGTTACCAACCTCTTCTATACCAAGCCGAGATAGTAGGCAGGGCACCTAATGGTGCGGGAAGGCGTGTCGCAGCGAAGAATATGCTCCAGTAGGCTAGCAGGGCCATACCCGCGCAGCGGCACGCCCATGCTCTCGTCGTCTGGCTCGATCCGTTTAACAGAGAGAGCGTTATTATTGAAGAGGGAAAGCACCGATGAGAGTCGCATCAATGCGGAAATCAACGGGCAAGGAAGGGTCCCATTTCTCGGGTTTTGGGCCGTTTCTCATGGTTTTTCTTCATCCCTGCACCACTGACCACCTCTACCTTGATATTTAATGGGCTGCCTTTTCGCCGTAAACTCCGCCCATGAAATGCGTCATACTCAAATTCTGTGATATCGAACCAGGCTGTCAGTTGAGCAACGTTCAACGATGGGCGTATTTTTCACCATTGAAGGGTGTTGTATCTGAGGACTGGGCGTTGTATTTTTTGAACAGATGTGAACAAGATTTCTTGAGAAATGAGAGACTTTTTCACAAATTCCTCAGGCAGGCTTTTCTTCTTTCCTGAGAACTCCCTGTACCCATAATTCGCTCAACGAAACGTTTGATACTGTGTGGAATTATTAAGAGTTGAGAAAATGACTGTACAACATCAGAGAAGTAGAAAGTTTCTCGTTTGAGGTCACCCGATTCTGCCAGAAACCACCACAGTAACGACAACTTCAGCGACTACAGCACCAGACTTCAAGATGTCAGAAAACACGAGGCTGGTTTTCTTCACAAATTCGCCAACTGCTGCCAATTTCACTACAACCACTTCATCTCCAGCGGCTCCGGATCCACGAGATGTTATAAGAAATGGTGCGTCCATCTTCATTCAGTTTTTTTCAATGTTCTGAAAAATGGGAGGATCGGTGAGAATAAAGGGGACTTTAGTGAAGGCACGATTCTCAAATTTATCCTCTTAATCGAAAAATCCATTGTTTCAATTATTGCTATCGTAAACCGGTGATATTCAGAGGTACAAAAGGCCATCGATCGATTGGAAGGTCGTGGCGAAGACGTCGTGAAGCCGTCTCCGTTAGTGAACACGGATGAGACCAAGGATGAGATGATGTAGGTTTTGACAGTAATTATAACCGTAGTTCCACTTTCGCAGCGTGCAAAATTGCTTTCCTTCTTTTCTGCATTACAATGGTAACTGTGCAGCCTCCCCGACGACGGTGTGATCATCATTGACAACGTTACATGAATGAGTTGAAACAATTTTGAGAAATACCCTTAATAGCCAGCTGTGGACACCGGGCGGGGCCAACGGGTCTTATGAGCGAAAATAGGGATTCGATTACCAAGCACGGATTATGGTCAATGCGGTAATAGCGGAACTGAATACAAGATCCGTTGGCAGCAATATTTGATGTTGTACGCTTTTAACTTTGAGCGTTATAGGACTAAGAATCCATAAAAGTGGAGGAATGTTGTGATATAAGAGAAGGGAGAGCAGAAAAGCTATCTGCACCGGCCGGCGCATGCGAACGCGTGCTGGTGGCGTAACAGCTGCGGCAAGAGCGATGAAAGGGCGAGCTGGTACCGCCGCTAAACCTCCGATTGAACGGTACCTACGGTGCGACTTTGAGCCACTGAAGCCTCATTCGTTTTTCGTATTTACGATTTACGATTTACGATTTATTACCGGAAAACAAACGGCAAATAACAAAATGCAATACCAAGTAGTAGACCATATCACCGATAAGTAAAGTGTAAACTAGGTGGGTGACGAAGATGGTAACTGCGTGAAAGGGGAGCGGAGAGTCGGCGCAGAAGGGCAGTGGCCGCCAACACTGCAAGCTCATGTAGTAGCAATGTAGAGCTCCGGATACCGACTTAGTAGGTCCGCCACCTTGCCGACATCCAACTCCCAACGACGCAAAGCTCAGATGGGGGAAGATTAGTCAACACAACACCAAACAAAGATATGTAAGTAACTAAGAAGTAACACCACTATTAAGTACCCAAACATGTGTCAAAGCCAGCATAGCTGTGTCGTTCTTCGCGTTTTTATTACAAAAAATCTGTCTCAAGCTGCTAAACAAGGCGAACAGGATCGTGCGGTTTCGTTGTGACGATCCCGTCAATCCGTAATTAAGTCATCATGCAGTTTCTTGAGAGTCAAATTGGAATTTCAGCTTCGAGCCGTCATTTGAAACTCAAATGATGCGTTACCTCCTCTATGCAGCTCCAGGATTTGGTGAGATTCATCTATTGACCTGAATTTTCAGCATTTTTCGAATCTCTCCTTTGTAGGTTGTCTCATCGGCCTGATTCCTGCCATTTTTCTGGTGCGATGTTGTGGGTCTCGTGGAACGTTGTCAGCAGCATTGGTAATGTCTGCGATCCTCACAGCAATGCTCCCAATCCTGTCTCAATTCGGTAAGTGAATTCTGCCTCAACAGGTGTTCGATGTGGGATTAATTTAGACCCTACATTTTCTTCAGGATTTCTGGCGTTGTTTCCTCTTCGCCTGCTGATTGGTGTCAGTTTTGCACCCGCATTACCTGTTGCTGGGGCGATTTGTGCCAGTTGGGGATGCCTGAACGAACAGCTTCTTTTCATCGGAACCGTCTTCGCCTTCATACATGTAAGTTTGAACGTGCTGTTCAGATGTTGAAATTGCGAGGCCACTGCGAAGGGTTTTAGTGGCGACCAAATCGCAACATCTTGGTGAGACGAATCATCACCCTGTCCGTACCAGTACCAAAATGCCCCACGTTTCGTTCGCACAAAAATGGGTCTGGGTAGGGGAGTACGAAAAATGCAGTGTAAAATTTCGTTCTAGAGATAGAATACTACTACATTCTGCTTTAACCAGGTAACTATTCGAGTTGTTGATTTTTCCATGGAGACCTTCACGAGCTCGAATAACCCTTGTTGGTAGACTTTTTGAATGGGTAGCGTTCATCAGGGCCCAGAAGGGTCGAAGCAATCTAGAGATACCCGAACAAGTGTCTTTGCACCTTAGCGAATTTCCCGGTTAAACAGGTCTAAATTGTATAATGGGCCACCTGTGTT